TCAGTGTGGGTGCTGCCGTCCGGGAGGGTGGATAGGCCTTCGGGTCCCGGGTGGTTACGGGGACGGGAAAGGAGCAGGTCCAGAATGGCACCAGCGTGGCAGTTGGAGCATTTGGCACCGCCCCGCCCCCAAAGCTAGAAACCTTGGATTCCAGGTGGACTCCTCTCCCCTCTTTCCTCTCCCGTCCTCGTCCTGCTGACATCAACGCGTCCCTCGCATCTGTTTCTTTTTTTTTTTTTTTTTAAATATATATTTTATTGATTTTTTTACAGAGAGGAAGGGAGAGGGATAGAGAGCTAGAAACGTCGATGAGAGAGAAACATCGACCAGCTGCCTCCTGCACACCCCCTACTGGGGACGTGCCTGCAACCAATGTACATGCCCTTGACCGGAATCGAACCTGGGACCCTTCAGTCTGCAGACCAAAGCTCTACCACTGAGCCAAACCGGTTTCGGCCCTCGCATCTGTTTCTCCCCTCCGTTCCCGCTGCTCCTGCCCTGGCTTAGGCCTCTTCGCCTCCCACCGGGATGGCAGCCTCCTCCGTGGTTCTGGGGCCCAGTCTCCTTCTCTGATGCAGCCCTGCCGCCCCTGCCAGGCTCTCATCCTAAAGAGAGGCCGCCGTGTCCCTTCCTGTCACGGAAGCCCACAGGGACCCACCCCCTCTGCTGGGGCAGGGTCAGGGCTCTGAGACACGGTCTGCCCAGCTTCCACCTCTGCCCCCGCCACGCACTGCCCAGCTCCGGGGGTGGTCTGCGCGGTGTCCCGCGCCTGGCGTGGCTCTCCCCGCTCAGACCCTGGCCCCCCACTCCTCCTCGCCAGTGCTCGAGCGGGCGTGCTTCCCTCCGCTGCATGGCTGTTGAGGTTGAGTGCACTGCCTTCCTGGAGGGGGAGCTCCCGAGGGTGCTGTCGGGTGTAAACGGCCCTGTTGAGACGGGTGACATGGGGGCTGTTGGTACCTGGCGGGGGTGACATGGGGGCTGTTGGTACCTGGCGGGGCTGTGGGGGGCTGTGCATTGTGTGCTGTTGGTTGTTTTGGTCACTAGGGCTTTCCAGCCGGGCTCCTGTGCTGTTCGTTCGTTCTTCGTTTGAGGGGTAGGAAGCCAGCCTCTTGAGTCTGGTTCTTAGATCTCCTGTGGTCGCCGAGGGTTCAGCATGACTTTCCGGCACAGAGCCGGGGGGCCCGGTTCCCTCGGCACGTTCCATCTGGCACGTTCCCAGCGAGGGTGGCTTGCGAGGTCTGGTTGGACCGAGGGGCCACGATGCAGCTGACTTGGTCTCCTCTAAGCCGGGCACCCGCTCTCTCTCTGCTAGGCCTGGAGCCCAGACAGCAATGGCTGGGAGACCCATCCGCATAGGAGACCAGCTGGTCCTGGAGGAAGACTATGATGAGACCTACATCCCCAGTGACCAAGGTAAGAGGCCTGTGTGTGCTGCCATAGCTCTTCCAGGGCAGGATCCCCTCTGACTTAATGTCATTCTTCTGAGGCCAAGATGGTCTATGCACAGGGCTGCTCAGTTGGCAAACTGTAGTCCATGGGCATAATCTGGTCTGTTGCTTGTTTTTTAAAAAAATATATTTTTATTGATTTTAGAGAGGAAGGGAGAGGGAGAGAGAGAGAAATATCAATGATGAGCCTGACTGGCATGGTTCAATGTTGAGCGTTGACCTATGAACTAGGAGATCAAAGTTCGATTCCCGGTCAGGGCGCATGCCTGTGTTGTGAGCTCAATTTCCAGTTTGGGGTGTGCAGGGGGCAGCCAATCAATGATTCTCTCTTATTGATGTTTCTATCACTCTCTCCCTCTCCTTTCCTCTCTGAAATCAATAAAAACAAACAAACACAAAAAACACACACAAAAAAATCATCTCCTTAAAAAAAGAAAAAAAAAAAATATACCAATGATGAGAGAGAATTATTGACCGGCTGCTTCCTGCACTCCCCTGTCGGGAGATCATGCCCTGACCAGGAACTGAACCATGACCTCCTGGTTCGTAAGTCAATGCTCAACCATTGAGCCATGCTGGCTGGGCCTGTTGCTTGTTTTTATAAATAAAGTTTTATATACAAAACAGACATGCTTGTCCATTTATAATCTGTGGCTGCTTTCATGCTGCAAGGGCATTGCTGAGAAATCATGACAGAAAGCATATGACCCACAGCCTAACATATTCACTGTCTGACCCTTTCTAGAAAAAGTGCTGGCCTTGGATTAGACCAGGGATTAATTTAAATGAAAATAGTACGGGCCCTGATCCATTTGGCTCAGTGGGTAGAGTGTTGGCCTGTGGACTGAAGGGTCCCAGGTTCGATTCTGGTCAAGGGCATGTACCTTGGTTGCGGGCATATCCCCATTGAGGGGTGTGCAGGAGGCAGCTGATTGATGTTTCTCTCATCGATGTTTCTAACTGTCTATCCCTCTCTCTTCCTCTCTGTAAAAAATCAATAAAATATATTAAAAAAAAATAGTACAGGATATTATGAAATGCAGTGTGTGCTGAGGCCAGGGGAAACTCAATTTCTTAAGAACAAACTAAAGCAGTGTTTTTTCTTTAAACAACAACATAACATTATCAATAACCATAAAAACAAAATCCTAAGCATTCTCTGTAGTCAGAACTCTCTGTACCTCCTCACAGGAAGTCCTGAGTCAGGTGCTTTATTGTCCCCGTTTCACAGAGGAGGAAGCCAAGGCACAGAAAGGTGAAGTGACTTCTCTGCAGTCACACAATTCTCCCAACAGTACTGCTGGAACCCATGCCCAGGAATCTTCTATTTTTTAAGTTTTTATATATAAAAAAATGGGACGCTTCACGAATTTGGGTGCCATCCCGGTGCAGGGCATGCTGACCTCTGCACCGCTCCCGTGTTAGTCTGGGTGCTGCAGGAGCAGGCAGCACCCCATCTTCTTAAGGCCTGCGCTTCGAAGCACTGTGCCGTTTTTGGGGGTGAAGATTCTTTTGAAATTGCCATGAATTATGGACCTGGACACACACATTTTGCTTGTAATTCAGATGGTTTGAAGGCCTGTTGGGGGCAGGAAAGAACTCTTTCACCCTCATTAACCCCTGGGCTTTGCGTAGAGCAGGAGATTTCTGTTTGTTGCCATGTACAATAGCAATTTTTAATTTTCATGTTAAATGTGTCCGTCCATTCTCACGTGGCCTCTGAATTTTGTGTCACAGTTAGAAAAGCCTTCCTACCGCAAGGATGAACGCTTGTTTCCTTCTGGGTTTGTGCCGGCACCATGGCCAGTCCCCGCCCCTGGGGGCTGCCGTCTGCCTCCGTGTCCCCTCCCTCCTCTCCCACGGGACGGTCTGCCCATAACGGGAACGTGTGCCCGGTCCCTGAGGCTCACCCTGAGTCCTCTGTCCAGCAGGCGGAAGGCCCTCCTCTTCCTTATTTTATCTCCCCGTGATCGTCAGTTCTGGGCAGCGCCTGGGTGTGGGGACTTGGCATCTGGGTAAAAACTGTGTTCACTCTATGAATGCCCTGGGAGGAGAGGTCTCTGTGAAGCTGTCTTCCTGCCCAAGAAGGAAGCTGTCTTCCTTCCCGTTGGTATCTTTTTCTCTTTCTCAGAGTGATTTAACTTCATTTTCATACAGGTTTTGTACATCCCTTGCTCATTTTGTTTCTTAAATATCTAATCTTTAAATTAAAAAAAATTTCAATTTCAGTTTACATTCAATATTATTCTCTATTAGTTTCAGGTGTACAGCCAAGGGGTTAGAAAATCTTGTACTTTACAAAGTGGTCCCCCCTGCTGCTTCACCTGGCCCTGACATTATTGTTACTATTTTTTCATAATCCAGCCCTGACCTCCCGGTTCATAGGTTGACGCTCAACTTCTGAGCCGCACCAGCTGGTGAAACCGACTGTAGCCCCTGTGCTGACCTGCACCCTCTGCCTCTGTGGCCGCCTGTTAGCGCTGCTCAACCCCGTTCAACGAGTCCAGTGTTTTCCTCAGGTTCTTACTAAGCACTCTCTCTGCTCAGTCTGAGCTTCCGAGTCCTAAGCCACCCCCATTCCTCTCCCCGGGCACTCAGTGCTCCCCAGTTAGCCTCTCTGCTGAGCACAGGAGTGTTCCCGTTAAATGTGAGGCGGGTCATCTGAGGGCTCTGAGGGTTGGAATCTTCGTGGTGCTTAGCCTCACATCCGCAGCGGCGTGGGCAGGCTGTGCAGGACCGGGCCCTCCCCTGGCCGGGCGCACCTGGGCCGCCGTGTCCTTGCTCACCCTGCCGGTCACCTGGCCTGTCCGACCGTCCCCCGGGGCCCAGCTGCTTGTTGCCACGGCCCTTTGAGCTGCTCTCCTGCCCAAGTGCCTTCCTCCCTCAGGTCCCCTGTGGCATCCTTCCGAGAAGCCTTCCTTGACTCTTTGTTTTTTTAGGCTGTTTATCAATCATTCACTTCGGCCCTTTTTAAAAACTATGTTGTTATTGCCCTAGCTGGTTTGGCTCGGTGGAGAGAGCGTCAGCCTGCGGACTGAAGAATCCAATCCCAGGTTGGATTCTGGTCAATGGCACACGCCCAGGTTGTAGGGTTGATGCCCAGTGGGGGACGTGCAGGAGGCAGCCAATCAATGATTCTCTCTCATTATTGATGTTTCTAGCTCTTTCCCTCTCCCTTTATCTCTGAAATAAATAATGGTATATTAAAAAGTACGTTTTTGTTGATTTCTTACAGAGAGAGGAAGAGGGAGAGAAGGAAGAAACATTGATGATAGAGAAACATTGATCGGCTGCCTCCTGCACATCCCCTATTGGGGATCGAGCCCACAACCAACCCAGGCTGGGGCATAGACACGCCCAGTCCACGGAGCCACGCTGGCCGGGCTTGCTTGGTCCTTTCTAAAAGGTGCCCCTCCATTGACCGCCATCTCAGGCCGCATCTGCTTCCTTCCTGATGTTTATCAGCAGCTTCTCTCTGTGCATCTTCATCGGCTCTCCTGCCTGGCGCTGCGTCTGCTGGATGCAGGCTCCTGCGGGCAGAGGCTGATTCCCTCTCACCCATACCCACGCCCACGGTGACTGCCCAGGCGGCACTCAGAGCCGCTGCGACATCAGTGACTGAGTTGGTCCTGGCCGCCACATGCCCGCTGGGCCTTTGAGAAAGTTCTTTTGTTTCCTAATGCCCAGGTTTGTCACCCTCCAGCAGGATGAGCATTCTGCGATGCCTCTCTGCCAGGGCTGGTCTCAGCTCAAGCACTGATGCCCTGGGAATGTGCTGTCCCGCGGAGTTGGCATGTGCCGTCTTCCCGGCACCGGGGCGGGTTCCTGGGAGCTCTGGCGGGGATTTTCATCGTGTAGACGTGATCCATGAACTCACGTCCAACCCTCTCCCCTCTGGAGAATGGGGGGTGAGCCCTGAACTCTGGTGACCAGGCCCATCCCGGGCGCCCAGGAGCCCGGCCAGTCTCCTCATTGGGCAGAACTCCCAGGACTCGGGAGATTGAAGGGCGTTCGGAGCTGTTTCAGGAACTGGCAGAGACCAGCATACGTATTTCGTATCATTTCACAGGTTGATTGTGACTTGTGTTTCTTTTCATCCACCTCTCCACTTCTCTTACTTTTCTACCCTCCTGCTTCTCCTTGCAGAAATCCTTGAATTTGCCAAAGAGATAGGTATTGATCCCAGCAAGGAGCCGGAGCTGATGTGGCTGGCCCGGGAGGGCATCGTGGCCCCGCTGCCTGCGGAGTGGAAGCCATGGTAAGTCAGCGCGCTGTGGCCCAGACGTGCCTGCCAGAGGTGGAGGAGCCTGGCATTGGAGGGCCGCGCTGACCAGCCACCTTCCATAGCCTGTCCCGCCCGGAGCTGGGCACAGCGATGGGCACTGCTCCCTGGGCTGCCTGAGGCCGGGCACAGCGATGGGCACTCCTCTCTGGGCTGCCTGAGGCCGGGCACAGCGATGGGCACTCCTCCCTCAGCTGCCTGAGGCCGGGCACAGAGATGGGCACTCCTCTCTGGGCTGCCTGAGGCCGGGCACAGCGATGGGCACTGCTCCCTGGGCTGCCTGAGGCCGGGCACAGCGATGGGCACTCCTCCCTCAGCTGCCTGAGGCCGGGGACACTCCTCCCTGGGCTGCCTGAGGCCGGGCACAGTGATGGGCACTGCTCTCTGGGCTGCCTGAGGCCAGGGACAGCGATGGACACTCCTCCCTGGGCTGAGGCGGGGGGCCGGGGGCACAGGCCGACTTAATGGTCCCGTTTGTAGAATAACGGTTTCTGAGCTGTGGCCTGTCAGGTCCGTGAGCCCGGCATCGTGTGGGCACACTCAGCCATGTCTGTGCCTTGCAGACTCATGTGGAGACCCCGTCAGCATGCCCGCGTGGGTGCCGGTGCTGCGAGGTCTGCGGAGGCTCAGGCGGCAGGGGCCTCAGCTCCTGGGCAGCCCGTCCCCACGTTTGAGTGATCTCTCGGGAGCACGCTCATGTTCACGGCATCGTTCATAGTTTCGGGTACGGCTCTGTGGATAGTGAGGAGCAGAGACTCAGTCAGGGTGTCAGGGGAGCAGGTGGAGGGCACGGAACAGACTGCCTCCCTCCCGAGGCCATTTGCCATGCGCAGGGCTCTCCCCAGGCTGCCTCCCCACTGAGCGCCCTACCTCTGCTTCCTGTGGTAACAGGTTTGCCGTACGCTTGTCCGGCACTCGTCCCCAGTGCTGAGGGGTCCTCGCTGATGCTGGCCTTGTGTGAGGTCTAATTATTCTGTTCTTTTTTTTTTTTTTTTTTTTTTTTTTTAATACCTTTTTATTGATTTCAGAGAGGAAGAGAGAGAGAGAAAGAAACATCAGTGGTGAGAGAGATAATCATGGATCGGTTGCCTCCTGCAAGCCCCGTACTGGGGACTGAGCCACAACGCGGGCATGTGCCCTTGATCAGAATTGAGCGCAGGTCCCTATAGTCCGCAGGACCACACTGTTTCCACTGAGCCACACCAGCCAAGGCCTTCCTGTTCTCGTTCATTCATTTAATGTGTTGGCTGTACTTGGGAATGACTGCAGTGGCAGCCTCGCTCATCTCCACTGGAGAATCGGAAGCCTTTAGCTTCCCACCTGCAGCCTCCTGTCCTCTGGGTCTTTTCAGAGGCCTTTCCTTGGACCTTCTCCAGCTTTCTTTTCTTAAAAAAAAAAAAAAAAAATTATTGAATTTTTAAAGAGAGGAAGAGAGAGGGATAGACAATTAGAAACATCAATGAGAGAGAATCATCGATCAGCTGCTTCTTGCACACCCCCTACTGGGGATGTACCCGCAACCAAGGTACATGCCCTTTACCGGAATCACCCGGGACCTTTCAGTCCGCAGGCCGACGCTCTATCCACTGAGCCAAACCGGTTTCGGCCTTCTCCAGCTTTCTGCCATCTTTCTTGCAGTTAGTCCTTCAGCACCGCTCACTGTGTTCCTGGAGCTGGAGGGTCGTGTTTGTAGAATAACGGTTTCTGTTTTGTTTCCAATATCCATCCTGGTATTCACATTTGCCTTCTCTATTAGCTTCTATCTTCTATTTCTCTCTGTTTTTAACTTTGTACGTTTCTGTGTTTTGCTTTTGGATATGTTTTTAAAAAAATAAAATAAATCTTTATTGTTCATATTATTACAAATGTTCCTCATTTTTCCCCCCTCCATTGCTCCCCTCCGCCAGGTTCCCACCCCACCCTCTGCCCTTTCCACACCCCCCATTGTCCTCATCCATAGGTGCACAGTTTTTGTTCAGTCTCTTCCCACAACCCCGTCTCCCCTTTTCCCTGAGAATAGTCAGTCCACTCCCCTTCCATATCTCTGATTCTATTATATTCAACAGTTAATATTGTTCATCAGATTTTTTTTTTAATTTTCTTGTCTTTTAGTTTCACTTGTTGATAGTCACGTATTTGTTGATCAAAATTTTTATCTATATCTTCTTCCTCTTCCTAAAGAACCCCTTTCAGCAATTCATATAATTCTGGTTTGGCAGTGATGAATTCCTTTAGCCTTTTTTTTATTTGTGAAGCTCTTTATCTGGCCTTTGATTCTGAGTGATAGCTTTGCTGGGTAGAGTATTTTTGGCTGTAGGTTCTTGCTATTCATCACCTTGAATATTTCTTGCCATTCCTGTCTGGCCTGCATGGTTTCTGTTGAGAAGTCAGCTGACAATCGTATGGGTGCCTCGGGTGGTGCAGGTTACCTCCTTTTTTCTTGCTGCTTTTAATATTTTTCTCTTTGTCTTTTGCTCTTGGGATTTTAATTATGATGTGTCTTGGTGTGGTCCTCTTTGGATTCCTTTTGTTTGGAGTTCTGTGTGCTTCCTGGACTTATAAGTCTGTTTCTTTCCCCAGGTGGGTGAAGTTTCCTATCACTATTTCTTCCAGTATTCTTTTGGTATCTTGCTTTCTCTCTTCTTCTGGGACCCCCATAATTCTGATGTTGGTTCGTTTGAAATTGTCCCAGAGGTTTCTTACACTATCTTTAACTTTCTGGATTCTCTTATCTTCTTGCTTCTGTGGAGTAGTGTTCTCTGGCTCTTTGTGTTCCAAATCTTTGACTTGATTCTTGCGATCTTCCATTCTGTTTTTAGGACTCCATATAATATATCTATATCTATATCTATATCTATATCTATATCTATATACATCTATATATATATATGTATTTTAATATATTTTATTGATTTTGTACAGAGAGGAAGGGAGAGAGATAGAGAGTTAGAAACATCGATGAGAGAGAATCATCGATCAGCTGCCTCTTGCACACCCCCTACTAGGGATATGCCCGCAACCAAGGTACATGCCCTTAACCGGAATCGAACCCGGGTCCTTCAGTCCCTAAGCCGACGCTCTATCCATTGAGCCAAACCAGTTTTGGCAATATTTTTTATTTCAGACAATGTATTCTTTATTTCTAGTTGGTCCCTTTTCATATCCTCATAGGTCTCATTTATTTTATCGGCCTTTTCTAGGAAATTCTTGAAAAACCTTATAAGCGTGGTTTTGAGCTCTATATCCAGTCGCTTCTTGTCCTCCATTTTTTTTGTTTGTGATCTATTTCCTTGTCTCGGCATTTTCACAGCTTCCCTGAGTTGGTAGGGTGGCTTTGTGTGCTAAGGTGTCCTATATGGTTCAGTGAGTCAGCCTCCCAGTTACCTGAGGTGGACAGTCTTGGTGTAGCCCTTTGTGGGCTGTGTGTACAATCTTGTTGTTAAGCCTTGCTTGTTGTTGGTATCACTGGGAAGCGTTGATCTCCATGCCAATTAGCTATGGGGATCTGAAGTATCTCATCTAGGAGGGTTTCTGTATTCCGCTTGAATGGGGTGGAGTCTCGGGGTGGCACAGACAAGCTTTGTTGAATCCTGCACAGTTGGTTGCAGGCGCGCACACCTCTTTGGTATAGGCGCAGACAAGCTTTAGATTCCTGTCTGTCACTCCCTAGGAGAGTCCCATTCACTGCGAACGAGAAAGTTAGCCACTGGAAGGGCTTCTGTGGTCCACTTGGATGGGGCGGAGTCTCGGGTGGTGCAGGTAAGCTTTATTCAGCCCCTCCCTATGAGGGTCTGGTTCCTGAGTCCCGCAGTAATGGCCGCTGGCTTCACACACCTCCTAGAGATCTCTGCCCGCTGCCTGACAGTCTGGCCTCTCCCTGTCTGGGGCCGTCTATCAGAGCAATAGGGTGGTTCTGTTTTCCTCCCGAACAAGAAAGCTAGCTGTGCATTAGCTGTCCGCCCTCTTCGTGCGCAGGGAGTAAGCCAGCAGTGAACTCAGCCAGCCCTCTCCGCACTCTGCAAGTAAGCCAGCAGCGAAGTGGGGCAACCGCCTTTTCACTCGCGCAGGTCTCCGCACCTTCACAGTTCCTGGGGTTCAGCGTGCCTTCTCTCTCCTTCCCAGGTGGTAGAGCCTCCTCTCAGCCAGCCGTCCAGCGCTTCATGGCGATGTTTCCCGTTTTTCAGTTCTAAATTCAAATTTGTTGTGGTAGGCTGCATTCGGGTGTCTACCCTATGCCGCCATCTTGGTTTTCTCTCTCTCTCTTTTTTTTTTTAAATGAAATCTATAAGAGAAATAGTATCAATATAACAACACTTTCATGTACACATGTGTAATAAATGAATGGCTGCAGTGATGTTGAAGAAAGGTGGATGGAAGGCAGGAACTGTCACTGGTTAAGGGTCAGCTGTTCTCCGTGTGTATGTACAGCCTCTTGTTTACATTTATTTGTCAGTGGGTATTTGCGCTGTGTCCACCTGCAACTGTGATGATAATGCTGCTGTGCACATCGGCATTAAAACCCACATTCCCAGAGCCTATATACAAATGTCTGTCTGGATCCTGCATTCCATTCTTTGGGGTATGTACCTAGAGGTTGAACTGTTGGGTCATATGATAATTCTATTTTCAACTAAAAAAATTTTTTTTTATTGATTTCAGAGATGAAGGGAGAGGAAGAGAGAGAGAAACATCAATGATGAGAGAGTCATTGACTGGCTGCCTCTTACACACCCCACACCGGGATCGAGTCCAAAACCCAGGCATGTGCCCTGACTAGGAATTGAACCGTGACTTCATGGTTCATAGGTTGACGCTCAACCACTGAGGCACGCTGGCAGAGCTCTATTTTCAGTTTCTGAGGACCTGCCATGTTGCTCTCCACAGCGGCTGTGCCGATTTACATTCTCACGAACAGAGCACAAGGGTTCAGTTTCTCCATGTCTTGATCAATACTTGTTATTTTCTGCTTTCTTGATGCGATTATGCTAATGGGTGTGGAGGGGTATTTTATTGCTCTTTTAACTTACATTTCTCTAATGTTGAGTGATGTTGAGCATCTTTCCAAGTGGCCATTTGTATGTCTTCTTTTTCCACATAACCCTCATATTCAGTACCCCTGATATTTCCCCTCTTTACTTCTGAGTATTTTCTATCTTATTTGAATGGAGATTGAGTTGTCACGTTTCACCAGGAGCCGGGGAGGGGTTCCACTGGGATCATGTGGGTTAGAGGATGATTGACTTGCTTACAGACTTGAGTCTGTTTAGTTAGGAACATGGAGTCTCTCTCTCATTTCCCTCCTTTTCCGGAAAGCTTTCTAAAGCCTTTGCCCTGGGGTAATGTCTTTATGTCTTTTATATTGCTTTGTGAATGCTGTTTTTTTCTGTTATTTGTCCTAATGGGTTATTGATAACGGTGGGTAGGGTAAATGGCTGCAGCATTTTGGGCTTGTCCATGGTGTAGTTCAAATTCTTAAACTACCTTCTGCATCATTTTCCTCTGTTGCTGATTCCATAGCTTGGACTTGCACCTCTTCTGTGTTTGGCGGCTTTTACAAGACCAGAGCTTTCACATTATATCTCTCTTCCCGACCATTTATAACAACGTTCAGCAGGGGCTAGCCTAGGCTTTATTGTCAGGACACCGTAGCATTTGTACTTAACTGTCTCAAACCAGGTCTGTTCCTACCCAGCCCAGCACGTTTCCCAGGAGCCCAGTGACTACATCTCCATCCAGGTTCCCATCCTGTGTTCCTGTCTGAGTTAACTCCTTCGTTCTTAGCTAAGTGCTGCCCTTCAATTTTGTGTTATCTTTTCCTGACTTCCTCTCTCCTTCTGTCTGCTCTCTCCTCTCCCTTTCCCCTAACTCCTCATCCTCTGCCTTCTTATTTTTCCCTACTTTCCCCCCAAATAGCTGTGGACTTGAGTAGGGACTAACTGCTGGCCTCTGTCACCCCAGCCAGGACATCACAGGCGACATTTACTACTTTAACTTCGCCAACGGGCAGTCCACGTGGGACCATCCGTGTGACGAGCACTACCGGAACTTGGTGGTCCAGGAGCGAGGGAAGCTGGCATCTTCTGGGGCCGTGAAGAAGAAAGACAAGAAGAAGAAAAAGGAAAAGAAAGACAAGAAGAACAAAGAGACCCCCAGAAGTGCCATGGTGAGCCAGTGGGCACGGGCTCAGAGGGGCCAGGCTGCCACCTGAGGTGATACTGGGAGCCGCTAGGTGTGTGCAGCTGGGAGGTGAAGAACAGTAGCTGGTAGTCATTTCTCGATGGTGCATCCTCCGAGTGTGCCAGTCTGCTGGCACGTTTCTCTCAGCTTCTGAAGTTGTTACTGTTTTGAAAGGGGAAATTCCTTTTCCCCTTGGGAAGCACACATTACACAGTAGGGTTGGTGGGAGAGTGCCTGGCTGAGGAGGGTGGGAGAGAAGTGATGCCAGCTGCCCCCTGGAGAGGGGCACAGGGAGCAGCTGGCAGAGGCCAGGGAGCCTGGGTGAGCCCACGTGTGTCTCAGTGGTGGGATCCGGGACGTCAAGTGGACCACAATCGGGCTGTCAGAGCACCGGAGCCTGCCAGGTCCCTGAGAAAGGCTTTCTCTCTCCCGGGCTGTCTGTGTTGCCAGGGACGAGTAACTGAAATGTGATTGCAGGGGGATAACCATGGTCTCCAGTGGCTGTGGTGCTCAGATTTGAAGGTGCTTTTTCTATTTTTGTTTGTTTGTCCCTTTGGTATGTCTGCCTTTAGGAGGTAGAGCCATCGTCTCATTTATAGGCAGAGAAGCCGAGTTGGAGCTGTACTGTAGGAGGCTGGGCACTCCCAGCGCCATGGCTGTGGCTGCTGTGTGGCGGTGGCTGCTGTGTGGCGGTGGCTGTGGCTGTGGCCGTGGCTGCTGTGTGGCGGTGGCTGCGGTGTGGCGGTGGCTGCGGTGCGGCTGTGGCTGTTGTGAGGCCGTGGCTGCGGTGCGGCCGTGGCTGCGGTGTGGCCGTGGCTGCGGTGTGGCTGTGGCCGTGGCTGCGGTGTGGCCGTGGCTGCGGTGCGGCCGTGGCTGCGGTGTGGCCGTGGCTGCGGTGTGGCTGTGGCTGCGGTGTGGCGGTGGCTGCGGTGTGGCGGTGGCTGTGGTGTGGCGGTGGCTGCGGTGCGGCCATGGCTGTTGTGAGCTCGTGGCTGAGGTGCGGCCGTGGTTGCGGTGTGGCTGTGGCGGCAGTATGGCTGTGGCTGCGGTGCGGCTATGAAAGGGAAGGGGAGCTGCCTCCTTCCCTTCACTCAGGCGTGGGCAGGCGGCAGGCGGCGGGAAGCAGGGGTCGGCGGGAGAGCACTGTCCTATCAACTGTGTCCGGTCCATTGACTTGCCCTTTGTTTATGATCTTCATTCCCACCAGCCCTGGTGCTTCCTCCCGGGAAGGTGCCCCCTGCCGTCCCTCCCAGGCCAGGGCCGGCAGTGGCTGGTTGCTCACGCACTTGCCCTTTGTCATTTCCAGGCCTGCTCATGCCTGAGAGTTGGGCCCGGTGGGGTTTTGTGTGAGTGCTACCGGGTGTGAGGGCTCTTTCAGGGCTCTTCCCCCCGGCACACTCTGGCTGCCAGGCCCTCTCCCGGCAGCACCAGCTCCGCCTTCGGTAGGAGACCGAGGCTGTGCTCCCGGTTCCCTTCTCTCCCTGGCTCACGCCGGGGCCTGAGGAGGGGGTGATTCCTGGCGATGACCAGCGCGGCTGAGTGCGTGATGTACCTGAGGGCTGGGCGGCTGGCGGGTTTCAGGCTTCGGTTCGTGGTGGAGCCTGCCAGGTCAGCTCCTCCGGAGCCCAGCGTAGAGAAGACGCAGGTGCCTGGGTTGCACCCGGGCTGTGGGTCTTGGTGACGCCCCTTCCTCATCGCACGTACCTCGTAGCGCCCCAGGGTGCCACGTGGCACCAGCCTGAGGGTTTGTAAGCCATTGACCTAGTCTGGCCACCTTTTCATGAACAGAAGACGGGGGTCAGAAAGCAAAGCCCCAGGAGGCTCTGAGTGTCTCTCCCTCTTTGGTTTTCATTTTACTCGGCGGGACGGGGGGTCTCTGCTAAGGGCTTGCCCGGGCTGAGGTAGCAGGTGTGAGTCTGAGTGCTCTGTCTCAGTGTTCTCTGCATGTTTGTATCCATCTAGGACACACAGCCTGAGCAGGGACTTCTGCCTTCCTCCTCCTCTCTCCGTGGCCTGTCCCCTCTCCCAGCTCCCAGGCTTGCTGATCTGGATCTAGACCAGGACATGCAGGCTCCCAGTGAGAGCTCCTTTCAGAGAGGGAAGAGCCCATGCATGCTCGGCGACACCCCCTGGGCCCTCCTGGGCTCCCCGCCCAGCAAGCTGCAGCCGCTGTCCAGAGGCCATGGCCCCCGCGCCCACCAGCTGTTTGCAGATGTGGAGATAATCCTAGGCAGGGGCCCCGCCCCGGGCAGGACAGACTTAGGGGACCAGCAGGCTCTGGAGAAGCCCCAGAAGCTGACTGAGAAGATCTACCTGGGGTTCTCAGACCCCGAGATAGAAGAGCTGGAGATGAGGACCAGGCTGGGCGCTCCAGGCCCCGAGGACGGCGGGCCCCTCCAGGGCGGGCAGGAGGTGTTAGACGGCAGGAGCCAGGCCTCTGTGCACCTCAGGCTCTCCGAAGCCAGCAAGGGCCTGCAGCTGACGGGGGTGCCGCACAGCACTGGCCCCGCGGGGGACAAGGGCCAGAGCCCCGTGCCCTCCGCGTCCCCCCAGGGGCACCCCTCCCTGTCCCCTTGTTCTTCAGACCAGATGCTCCTGGTAGAGGGCGGCCCCGCGGAAGGCCTGCGCCGGCAGAGTGTTTCTGGGGAGGGGGCGGGGGTGGGCTGGGGCAGGAGGAGGAGAGAGCCCCCGGGACTGTGGATGGGACAGGTCTCCCGGCTTGTCCACGAGGACGGCCCCGGGAGCTGCAAGGGGGCAGCGCCCACCGACCCTGGGGACCCCGCTGAAGACCCATGCCAGGGGCTCCTCCAAATGCCGCCTGACACCCCGGCATCGGAGGCAGCCCCGAGAGCCGCCCCTGCCAGCGAGAGCAGACAGCCCCCAGTGTGTGCGGAGCCCCCCGAAGAAGACGGGAGGCCCAGCGAGTGCGAGCCTGACTTAGAGAGCAGCAGCGGCAGCGGCCTGGCTTCTTCCCTCGGCTCGCAGGTCATGGGCGAAGTGAATAACTTCCCGTGGGACCTGCAGAGCTCTCAGGGGTCTGGGCGGGGCGGGGGTCCGTCAGGCCCCGGGCTCAGAGGGCTGCCCTCCGGCCCCTTCCTGGTGCCCCAGTTGCCCCACCTGCAGAGCTCTGCCGAGGAGCAGTCAGAGAGCGAAGACTACTCTGAGGACCAGAGGTTCTACCAGCACATCCTGCAGATGGCCAAGATCTCCCGGCGGCTGGAGGGCCTGGGGCTGCCGGAGAGCGTGCAGGAGAGGCCGTGCGGAGAGCTCGCCGGCGTGGCCTGCTGCGTGGCGGCCGAGTCCTCCAGGCTGTCTAGCGTGGGGGAGCACGAGGCCATCAGAGCCCTGGAAAGAGACTCCAGGCTTCTGGTTTGGGGACCAGAGCAGCTGGAACATCCTCAGGAGGGGGCCCTGGCCCCAGCTGGGCAGGAGGCCGCTCCGCAAGCCTGTTTGCAGCCAAGCAGCAGTCCTCTCAGGCAGGCGCTAGGTGAGCTGAGCGCCAACGAAAGGCTCGCTGTAGAGCCAGGCCAGATGCAGCTTCTCCACCAGGTAGGCTTCTCCGCATGGCCTCCAGGTCTCGGCACCATGGCGACAGTGGGCAGGTGGCGTTGGCGTGGCAGTGGGGCCAGCAGGACTGCTTCCCTGCGTGTGCCCTCCCTTGGTAACGATGGAGCCCTTCCCTGCTCAGGGTGGCATCTGGGGGATGGCAGGGTTTCCCGACTCCCCCACCCCATCACCTGCAGGACAGGGTGGGAGGCACTGGACTTCGGAGCGCCTCCCGTGCTGGGACGGTGATGCACTCTGAGGTGCAGGTACCTCCCAGGATCCGGTTGTAGAGAGAGGGCCTCCTCATAGACCTTGCCCCCAGCTCCGGGTCATTCCCTCCTCAGGATCACACAGAGCTCCAGGCCCAGTCACCGGCGGAGGCCCAGGCTCTGCCAGCCAGTGAGCCGCTTCTGCTCCTGGCTTCCCAGGGTTCCCAGCGACCAAGCTGTGCGGGCCCTGTGTGTGCCCTCACTTCCTCCCCTGCTGGGATGTACCGCTGTGGGGCTTGTCCTGTCATTTGCCCTTTATCCCTTTAAGGAGCCACACCCTGTCCTTCACTTAGAAGAAGCCAAGTTGCATCAGAGACTGTGGGTCCATTTGAATCTCCCTGGCTGTTCTCTTGCCCTCGGTGGCGTTCCCTGGTGTCCTCCAGGCTCCCGATGGCTGGCGTGCACGGCTCTGCCTGCCCCGGTGACCGCTGTGCGCTGTGGACACCCCCAGGCTGCAGTTAGTCCGAAGGTTCTAGTTAGCGCAATGGCAGCAGGTGCATCCGCGCTGAGGGCAGCACACGCTGAGGGACAGCACACCCGCAGCCATCGCCAGAGTTAGTGGCCATCTCTAGACGATGACCAGCTCGGAGCAGGGATGGATAATTTCCCACTAACCACTGGTTTGGCAAAGCCCTCAGCATGCCTGTCTCCCTCCCCAAGCCCCAGCACATTAGCAATTAGCCACGTTAGGAGGCTGTGATTTTCCATAAACACAGTGTGGGAGTATTGTGCTTGCTGCTACATGGGCGGGTTAGGAGGGGGAGTTGGGGGGAACAGGCTTGGTTCCCTCCCATTTCACCTTCGAGAAGCTTGCCTGGGCCCCTTTTCTGCCCCAATCAGGAGGCAGAGGAACATGGCGGCTCAGGGAGAGCCCTGGCTTCCAAGCCCATCTGTCACCCCCCCCCCCCCCCACGCTGGCTCTGTGACTTGGGCTGGGGTCTTGATCTCTTCAGTCTCTTCTGGTTCCTGTGGGGAGGACGGTGGCCTTAGGCAGTGGCCGGAGGTCAGGGAGACGTGGCGTGGAAGGCACTAGCTCGGTGCCTAGTGCTTGGGGAGTGTTGGCCAGTGTTAGCCTCACCCCTTCCCCGCCTGACAGAAACCCTCCACACGGGGCCAGGTGACGCGTCTGCAAAGGGCCGCAGCGGCTCTCCTGTTGCCTCTCAGGTGGACACCGATGCCTTCCCCTGCAGGAGGGGCGCTGAGCAGAGCCCGCCGGGGTCTGCCTGTTCTAATGCTCACCCTCTCCGCTCCCTTTCTCTTCGTCCCAGTGGGACCGGAGAGAAATGGACTTTTTGGTTTTTTTATACAGTGAGGTCTGTGAAGTGATTTTAGAGAGCTCCCTGAGAATGTGTTCCCAGAATGCTGCCCTTCCTCTGCTCCTAAGCCAGGCTGGTGTGAGTGAGTCCCTACCTAACAGCGACTCCGTAGCGTGGGTCGCCCTGGACCACCTGCAGGCGCTCTTTCCTTCACGGTCTCGTTTGAGCTGCTCCACAGACTGCAGTGATGGGACACACACCTGTCTCCCAGAGGGGTAAACTGAGGACCAGGCGTGTGGGGCAGCCCGGGCCTTCGGCTCCGCGGAGCCGTGGGAGAGCAGGGAGGAGCAGGCCCTCTGCGGCCTCCGCCAGCCGCTTTCCTCCTCACTGCAGCAGCGGGCACCGGAGCCCTCTTCTGTGGCTCACGCTCGTTGTCTGTAGTTAACATGTGAGGGAGGCGTGCCCCCGTTACACACAGTCAGACCGCACCCAGGGCCCCGCACAGACTGCAGCATTCTCGGGGTGCCCGTCTCCGGGCACCTGCTCGCTGCGTCCCCCTCGTCAGTGTGCGCTGTCTGCAGACTGCTCCTTCTGGAGGGTGAGCTCCCGCTCGCTCCCTGCCCTGCCCTTCCTGTGGCTGCTGGAAGGACACAGCCCGCCGCCGCCGCCAGCTGCAGGGGCCTGTGTGCTGCGAGGCAGCGGCGGGGGCTGGGGTCGGGCACCGCTGTGGTTTCTCGGGCTGCCAGGGCGGTGATTCTGGAGCTTGTGTTTCACGAGTGGCCTCTGGTCGGAGGTGGTTGAAATTTGAGTGGCAGGATGTAGATGTTCCATTTTCGTTTCTGTCTCCACCTCGAAGAGCCACGTGGTCTCTTAGGTTTATAATGAGACGTTTTCTGTTGACCAGGCCCTGGGCTCCTCACTGGCTCCAGTCCACGCTCCCCTTGGGGGCCTGGCTCCCTTACGAGGCCTCGTGGATGCCCCGCTCTCCTCTCTTCGCACGTCTCACGGTGTGAGCGTGGGGAGCTCCGTGGAGTCCGCTCAGCGTGGAGAACTCACGCTGGTAAGTGCTTTTCGTACGGTAGGTGCATTGAGTTACTGTGGGCCTCCTTGTACCATGCTTGGAATTACGCGGCCCGCAGATGAGAAACAGAGGGCAGGGGCCGAGTCCTCGAAGCTCATAATCGAGCTGGGAGGTGAGTCGCACCTGTGTGCTGCTGCAGGCGGGCTCAGCGGGACGCCCCACGCCCTGGCACTGCAGGCCTGCGGCCGGGGCAGGGGCAGTGGCAGCCGGGACGGGAGGATCAGTGTGCACCGCAGTCACCAGGGGCAGCTCTGTGGATGTGGCCGGCTACCATGGGAGAAATCTGAACTAAAGGAGTGGGGAGAGCATTCTGAGGGTCATCTGAAGGTCTTCCTTGTGAGCCCCCTGACTTTTCTTTTCTATTTTGGAGCCTTTGCAGGGTCTCAAGACTTCTGCTCATATGCAAGGTCTCTTGGGCTCCATCCGTGAGGACAAGAATGCGCTCAGCCTCCTGGCTTTAGGGGAGGAGACCAGCGAGGAGGAGGCGGAGAGTGATAACCAGGTAATGAGGCATCCTCCTCCTGCCCGAGGACCCTCGGTGCTGTTTTTTTTGAAAAGTTTTTGTTGTGGTAAAATATATATAACATGAAAGTTATCATTTTAACTAATTTTAAGTATACACTTAGGTGGCCTTAATTACGTCTACAGTGGTGTGCAGTTGTCACCACTGTCCATTTCCAGAGCTCGTCCGTAATCCCATATAGACACTCTGTGCCCATCCTTCCCTCCCCGGCCCCTGGCGCCTCGGATCTCCTTCCTGTCTCTGAATTTGCCTATTCCGTACATTTCCAGTAAGTGTGTCACACAGCATTGTCCTTTAACGGATGGCTTTGTGTGGCATAACTCTCCCAAGGTTCCTCCACCTGTGTTAGAACTTCATTCCTCTTTATGGCTGAACAATCCTCCCTGAGGGAACAGACCCCATTTGTGTCTCCCTGCATCTGTGGACGCACGCTTGGGCTGCCTCCCCTTTGGCTAACCTCTGAATGACTTTGGAAATAAGTACAAATAACTTTGTGGCCACAGCTTCCCTTCTGGCCTGGTCTGTACACCTCTCAGTCCTACTGAGAACCCGCGGAGAGCCCCGATCCAGTTTCCTCCAGCCGACCACTCATAATCGTTTTTGTTTCAGAGTGTCCGCAGCGCAAGTGAGCTTCTTAAGAACCTGCACCTGGACATTGGGCTGCTGGGGGGCAACTTCGAGTCTGAGGTAAGGCCCTAGGCCCCTGCGTCAGATGTCGCTTAGCCTGGGTGTCCCTCCTCACGGCTCTCGCCTTTCTCCCTGTGGAACGTGTGTTAGGAAGGAGAGCCGTGTGTCCCGCTCCTGTCCAGACAGGATTTCCGGGGCTTGGGGAAGCACAAGAGGGGAGAGGAATTCATCTATTTGTTCATTTACCAAATAACCACCATTTATTGCATGTTCCTACAAAACAAGGTACTTTGCTAGGTGTGTAGGTCATAAAATGCTTAAAGTAGATGTGATTCCTGCCCTCTAAAAGCTTACAAGTCTCATAAAAGAGAGACCTAAAGGGCTGGAGTACCGCAGTGAGACCCAGGAAGTGACAGAGGCCTGGGAGGGGGCGTGGCATCTCCTGTCCATGTGGCTGGACCAGGAGAGGCCACAGGGAGACTGCCTTCAGGTGAGTCAAGAATAATAGCAGGGCTACAAGCAGGGTGAGTGGTGGGAGCCCAGGTGTAGGGCACTGCGCAGGCAGGGGCCGGGGGGTGGGTGCAGTTGGGGAAGAGAGGATATAGGGCGTATGTGGGAGAGAACTGAGACTGCGCCGTGGGCTGGGCTGGGCTGGGCTGGGCTGCGGAGCACCCTGTGCCAGCTCCGAAGTTTGGATTGAATGGCCGGCGTTGGCGGCCATCAGAGGTTTCAAACTGGGGTGACCTCACCAGCTTCCGCACCCTGGTGGGGTGCTGGTCAGTTTAGGCCACTGTGCACAGGTGTGACTCACCCAGTGTCCGCACACTGTGGAGATACAGATGTTACTGAGGTCTGGGTCGGGCTGGCCTCAGGAAATTTGCAGTGAGAGAGAGAAAGGGTTAGGGTGGTGTTTAGTAAGTGATTAGTCAGTGGTGGGGAAATGAGGATCTGGGAAGCTCTGAGCAGGGTGGCATGTTTGTGAACTCTGGCACAGGCTTGCAGGAGTCTGAGGGAAGAAATTACTTGTCTAGAGGTCGGGAGAACTTGCTGGAAGAGAGGACAGTTGGCATGGGTCTTTAGAAGTGGGTAAGTTTTGGAATGGGGGAGGATGTAGGGGATATTTTAGACCGGCAGACATCTTGAGCACAAGGACTGGGAAATGCAGAATATGGTTGGGAATAGTTTCTGCAAATCCTGCCCTGTTGCTCTGACCTCTCTCCCTGGTCTGGCCTTCACTGCCACTAGGATGTTCCTTATAAAAACAAACAAACAAAACCCCAAACTTATCATATTGTTGGAATATTCCAAAATTCCAGTGCACTTTTGTACTTGAAAAGGAACAAAATACTATATGTATTTTAGTGTGCATTCATTTTTAACAATTAGCATTTCTCTCAATATTCCCAAAGTATTCACACAGCTAGTAAATCATGAGGTCAGCAACAGAGATTTCCCCAAACATTTAGTTATTGATTGCAAGCTTAGTTAAACTGTCCAAGTCTAGCATGCCACATTCTTTTAAAGTCTTCAAACTGACCATTGAACAACAACGCTTGGACCACAGATTTAAATTTGCTTTCTTACATCATGTCCTTCTACTCCCTTACCACGGCCCTGTTGTCTCTGACTCATGTCTCGGTCCTCGGCCGCCCTCAGAGCCAGGGCAGACGCCTCGGGCCGGTGGAGGTTGCGTGTTGGCCGACAGGCCCTGAGTCACGGGTGGGTCTTTCCAGGCGATCCTGCTGAGCCATGGCAGCCCGTTTACAGTTAGGCTTTCCCTAGATCAGCGGTCGCCAGCCTTTCGGACATCATGGACCACGCGGTCTGCGAATCACCAGTTGGACGGTCCATGTTGTTGGCTCTGCGTAATCAGATGCGTTTGGATTGTGACTTTGACATTGTTTTTGAGTGTCCAGTATTTATCATCAACCTGATCTGTGTCTGTGGTGAAACTCTTCCTTCCAAATGGGGCCTGGTCTGCTTGCATTACATCCCAAGCCTTCAGACTGTTTGCTTCCCCAAATGACAACTTGGTTCCTCTTGTTGATCATCAAGACCTTGTACTGAGGGTGGACTCAGCAGCTTGGGGTCTGAGCCCAGGAGGAGGATGTGAGCAGGAAGGCGGTGGCTTTCGGGGAAAGGATGGTCTCCTTGAGACAGAGCAGATTGAGAGTGGAGAGTCTACCCTTCGCACGTCTGTGCCGGGGCCTGCCCCTGCCTGGACCACAGGAGGGGCGTGGGCAGGTTTGGCTGAACAATGGAGGGGATGGAGAGGCGAGGGAATGAGCGGGCTGCGTGGGGGCAGGGCGGGTCCTGGCAGGCTGGGCTGTTTTCTTCCCGTGGCTGTCCCGTGGCCTGTGCAGAGTGGACACTTGGTCTCTGCTGTCAGCAGGTGGATTGAAGATCCCAAAGTGGGTCCATCATGATGAACTTTGACTTTATGCTAGTTAATTTTTGCTTTATCATTTTTACTTTAGTAAAAAAAAGTGTCAAAAAAAAAAAAAAAAAGAGGGGTGGATTTTCTTTGACATGTCCTGGATTTCCAAGAGCTTTCCTTGGGATGATGATATGCTGTTTTGAGTGAGTGGACGCTTTTAAACATATTTCGTCTAACCTCTTTAGTACAAACAGGCCGCCGGTGTGGTGGGGCAGTGTCTGGGTGGGAGGCGTTAAATGCACCTTCCATCCTTGTCTTAAGCATCTCAGTAGATACAGTCATTTTTGCCACAGGGAGTGTTGAATTCCTGAGCTCCAATGGCAGGCAGGATCGAGGGCTTCCCTGGTGGGGCGCGTGGTGGTGGGATGAGTGGGGAAAGCTGCCTGTGCGTGGGCCACGCCCTCTGAAAGGCGGTTGTCCAAGTGTCTAGACCTTACCCCTGAGGTGCCCACCTCTTCCCGCTCCCGGCAGCTCCGGCCGCCCTCGGAGAGGGCTCCTCAGTCCGCCTGGCTTGTTGTCGACAGACACTTGCTCTGGATTCCAGGAGAGGGCAGCAGGATGGCAAGAATGACTCTCCCTCCCCTCCTCTCTGCCTTCCACGTAAACCCTTTTCTAGTCTGTGACAGAATCAGAAGGGAGAGGCTCGAGAACAGACACTGGAAATGGGTGTGAGGAAGAGGGAGGCGGCAGGGTGGCGAGCTGGCCTCGTGCTGCTGGTGAGAAGCCGTCAGCCGATCCCAGGAGCGGAGGAGCTGGGTGTGGGAATAATGGGATGATGTCAGTGTGACCGGAAGGTGCTAACAGCACCCGGGAGAAGTGCAGAGAAGGGGGAACGGCTGAGTGGGAACGAGAAGCGGAAAATAGACTGCACTGATGATGCATTGGGGTGGGGGGGTCTTCCCGAACAGGATGTAGCCATGGACACCGGGCTCAGCACCCCGCCCTCCATGCCCTCCCTCCTGGGCTGTGTGCTTGGCAGGACCTGGCTTCATGCTCTGGGCCCTCGTGGCTTTTGGGGGTGTGTGTTAAACAGGAAATGGTTCTCACAGGTACTCTCCCGCACCTTCCCCTGCCGGTGCCAGGTCTTTTTTGAAAAAGTCGCAGGAATTTGCTTTGAGATACCCGAGTCCCTGGGGCTGGACCCGGAAGAAGGATCTGACCCCAGATGAGCTTAGAGCAAAGCGGTGCCCAGGGTGCAGTCCCTGCCCTGCCACCCCCCTGTGCCCCTTAGAACACCAGCCCAGGAGACGCACGGGCCTGGGGGCGTCCGGGCAGGGCCTCGGCCTGGGCTGCGGTGTGAGGAGGAGCAGCCCGGGGACAGGAGAGGAGCGTGTTGTCTGATGGGCTTTGTACACACTCCCTCCCTCATCCATCTGTGGGCAGTGTGAGGGAAGTGTCTCCGCTGCTGTCCTTCCCTGCACTGCGGTCACCAGCTCACTGGTTTTAACGTGAGCCACGTTTCAGTGTGGTAACATTTAGGCAGGCAGGAGAGGATAAGCCCTTTGTGGGAAAACCTTTTGAAAATCGAAGTTTCAGAACGGCCTGGGTGGGCCTCGCAGCCTTTGGCCCAGCCATGTCTCTCACGTGGACCCGTGTCCTCCGGCTCTGGATGGGCTGCTTGCTTTTCCGTCGTCTGGAGTATCAGTAGCTGACATCTGCTCAGCGGCCTCTCGCTGAGTGGGCAGGGTAACAGATGTCGTCTCATCCCTGCCTAGCCCTGCAAGGTCGATGACATCTCCCCTTTGTAGACTGGGTGCTCCATGTCTGCAGGACGCCCTCCCTCATCTCTGCTGACTTGTATCTGCAGTTTCCTGACCCCCGGCCTCTGTCTCCCTCCCCGAGCCTGGGCTGGCAGAGGGCGTGTTCTGGTTGAGGCTGTCTTAGCCACAGTTCAGCAGATGGCTGTGGAGTTTTCACAGTTTATTTTTAAAAATCCAGTCAAGCATTTTCTATTGTGCGCGGGCAGGAGAATAACAGGGCTGATGTGGTGGCGGAAACAGACGAGGAAGCCGGCAGTTAGAATGCGGTGGCTGTTGCAGAGGTACTCTCCGCACCCCGCCGTGCAGGTGCGAGGAACCTACCTGTACGGAGGACGGAGGACGGGGGAGGCTCGTCCCAGGACACCTGCCCTGGGAGGGAGGATGTGACGCTGTGAGGCCGTGAGGACTAGTGGCAGGGTGGGAGAGGGAGAGAATTAAGAAGGTGCATGGCAAAGTAGGAAACAAAGCATGATGCTTATTCAAAGGCAGGGAGAGAGGCGTGTGCAGGGTGTGGCTGGGGAGGACCCATGAGGAGGAGCAGGGGCTGGACCCGGTGAGGAGGCGTGAACGTGTCCTGAAGGCCATGGGTGCTCTGCCCCCTATTCCCCTATTTCATGGTCTGCTGCCTTTATTTTATTTTTTATTAAAAAAATGCTTATTGTTGAGAGTATTACAGTTGTTTTCCTTCCCCCCCATTGCTCCCCTCCAGCTAGTTCCTGCCCCAACCTAGACCTTCACCACCTTATTGTCTGTGTCCATGGGTAACGCGTATGTAAGATCTTTGGTTAATCTCCCACCCTCTCTGAGATTTGTCAGTCTGTTCCATGTTTCCATGCCTCTGATTATATTTTACTCATCAGTTT